AGCATCTTAAAAAGCAGAGACATCACCTTGCCAACAAAAGTCTGAATAGTCAAAGCTATGGTTTTTCCTGTAGTGTTGTATGGAAGTGAGAGCTGGACCATAAAGAAAGCTGACCGCCGAAGAATTGATGCCTTTGAATTGTGGTGCTGGAGGAGGCTCTTGAGAGTCCCCTGGACTGCAAGGAGAACAAACCTATCAATTCTAAAGGAAACCAACCCTGAGTGCTCACTGGAAGGACAGATCCTGAAGCTGAGGCTCCAATACTTTGGCCATCTCATGAGAAGAGAAGACTCCTTGGAAAAGACCTTGATGTTAGGAAAGTGTGACAGCAAGAGGAGCAGGGGACGACAGAGGATGAGATGGCTGGACAGTGTCTGCGAAGCAACCAACATGAATTTGACCCAACTACGGGAAGCAGTGGAAGATAGGAGAGCCTGGCGTGCTCTGGTCCATGGGGTCACAAAGAGTCGGACACGACTAAACGACTAAATGTCTGAAATTCACTTTCCTTAGCACTTTAGTTCCTAACGTCTTACTCGAACGGTGGAAAAGAGGAAACTGAAAGGAAGGTTGAGGAGGCGGAGCTCATACCCTGCCGGCGGGGGGGAACTGATTATTTCTTTTTCCTCAGCTCTAGAATCTTCCGAATGTCCTGCACAGGGGCAGGATAAACCCATTTGTGTGCATTCACAGAGGCCACTAAGAAGAACCTCCCCCTACTAATAAGTAACACATCAATAGGGAAGGCATCTTAGTTTTTATAAACTGAACAGGCAGAAACAGCTGAAAGTACAAATCCTGCTTTTTACCCCAAATACAAGAATGACCAGTGCTAGAGGCTAAATTTAACCTCTACCTCAATCCAGCTCCTGAATGTGTATCTTTACTTTCTTCCATGTGAGTGAATGACCATCATTCATTTCTATGTGATAAAGCAAGGCACTTGGGAACAATAATGAGTTAGAACAAAAAATAACTGTCCCTCACATTGCGTAGCCAACTATTTACAAATCAACTCCTTTGGGGAGGGGAAAGAAAGAGGACAGCATTTCCTGCTGAAGGCAGCTCCAGCATTCTTCTAAATAGGAAATACCTTGTGCAATCCAGACAGGAGCTGAAATAAAAAGCAGGTGGGGACAGGTTTGGAAATGCCAGCATTACCTCTTGTTTATCTATAGCAATGAGTTGGGTGATAGATCAGATAACAGGAAATGGGAATGGGTAAGGCAGATTGGGAGAAAAATATCCGAAATTCTCCATATGTCAAGAAAAAGCATCTTCTCACAAAACTTTTTAAAAGAAAGAGTAGACATAGCCATTTCAAGACATGCCACTCAATTTATAGCAAGACTAGTCAATTTTGTTAGGTTAATAAAGACTAAAAGCCCAATCCCTTATTTGATACCCCCACTTTATACAGCACTGGTCATGCAGAGCACTGTGTAACACAACATATGGAGAAACAGATATTTAATTTCTCAGATAGCTGAAGGGATGAAAACACCACAATATCAGACAAGCACAGGCTAGAAAGCAGTGCTACAACAAGCGAGAGCACCACGTATTTAATCTCCCATGTGAGGACTACAATGATTACCTGAGTGTCTGTGTGTCTTGCCCACCATGCTGGGCACTGGTGCATCATGGGAGAAGTGCTGCAGTTGGGTTGAAAAGTGCCGGGGATCAAAGGGTAACACAGTAGGAGGATTGTGAGGGAAAGTGAGGGAGGTGGTGCTGGAAGAACGGTGTCTGGCTTCCAATGGCATTTTCCTCTCACTGGACACTTCCTTTTGATAGAAGGGAAGAGGGAAACAGAATAAAAAAGTTGATTAAAAAAGGAATGGGACGAACACAGGAGTGGTCAAACAGGTGGGAGAGTATACAAATGAGAAAACTGATAAGGATATCAGAGCAAGGTACTTCCCATGAACAGAAATAACATGCACCTGTGGCCACTGCATTTTCCTGAACCCTTTTAAAAAAAAATATCAAGATTGAAAAAACATTATATTACTATTTTAGCTCAGAGATTTGTAATTTCTACTGTAATTTAAGTTGCATATAGATGTGCAAATGAATAAAATAATTGAAATCAACCTTTAAAAAAACTGCACCATATCTAAAGCTACACAATCAATATCATAGTTTTAAATTGATGCAGATGACAGAATGAGATAAATAGAAGACTACCATAAAAGGTACCAGGAAAACAGAAATCAACGTCAAAGAAAGCAGAAGTGGAGGCACAGCAACGCATTAACAGAGGCACATAATTTTTCAGGTTGGGAAACTCATATAACAAGGTCTCTGAATAGGCTGTAGGTAAGTAAGCAGACCATAGCGATATGAAAGTAGTGTAGTATATGTTCAGCAATATGAAATAATTGAACCATGAAGAGCAGGGGGTTGGGAAAAATTTTATCATAAGAAACTCCAGGCTTCTCTTTACAAAAGATAAATAATGACTGAATATATGAAGTGTGATTATTACATATAATCAATATCCGCACGAAGATTTAATGCATATAAACTAGTTATTTATATCCCACTTTTCACCTAGAGAGTCTCTTTGAACATCTTTCAGATTAATTGAAACAACACAGGCTCTGCCATTAGGATTACAAGCTAAAAAAGACATAATACAGGAAGAAAAGGGGATATGAAGACAAGAAATACAAATCAGATCTTGGAAAAATCAACTTTTTTGAGAGTATGACTTTCACAAACCTCCAGGCAACATGGCCACTGGTCATGCTAGGAAGGAAAATATAAAAGTATATTAAACATGATTTCTGGGTCTACATGACTTGTACACAATATGACAAAGTTGTATGCACCCTGAAATCATCAAAAGAAGCCTGTAATCAGTGGCAATTGCCATTCATGATGACATTGTTGCTATTGAAAGGAGCTACACAATAGGATTTCAACCATTTTCTAATTCCTCACCTTGTAACAAGATTTTTAGCATAACTTTCTGACCTTGCACTCTCGGGAATCAGTTAAATAAGCCAATAGCTGAACACTAAGATCTGCCAAATATGTAAATGAAACATATTGACAAAATAAGGAAAACTACAAAGGAATTTGGTGAGAATCCCAACTGATACCCTTGTAAATATTATGAAATTACTCCCGGTTATAGTAAAAAGACCATATGTGCATCTTATCAATAAATGCAGATACACTGGCCTCAAAGTGCCGCGATAGTCACTTTTCATATATGTCACCAGAAGCCCCTCTGTGCAAGGCTGTTTTTGAAGGAATCTTCAGCTAGTGCAAAGTGCTGCTGCTTGGTTCTTAGTAAGATGTTAAATGAAAAACGTCCAAGAAGCTGTTGCTGGATGTTTCTTATGCGCAGTCCCTTAAAGATTTCCCTTCCAGCCCAAATCCTATAGGCTTCCTAATCTGTGGTATAATATTGCATGTTTCTTATTTATTCAAATTCCATTTGTCACAGTATCTCAGTTCCAAACATTAATTGTGGCTCAAAAAAAATTGTTCCCTATTGTACAGTGCTCAGCTCTGTAGTTTTCCTTGATGACAGACCCATACTAGCCTTCTGCTGCTTGTCCCATCTAAAGCAAGTGGCCATAAGACAGAAAATCAAGGTATGAATGGATAAGGAGACAGGTATCTCATCAACCTGTGCATGAACAAATATGACCAGAAAAGCTTGAAGACCCCATGTAGTTGTTTTGTTTTCAATTAACCAATTTTTATTGTAAAATCAGTTATACAAAATGCACATCAAATGGTAAGAAATATAAAAACAGGCAAAAGGAAAAATATTTCATGTTTTGATAACCATATAAAACAGAAAGACTCTCCATACACTAACACCATTTAAGCAATCATTACATGTGATAATAGTTAACTCATTCTCAGCTGTGCCAATAATTGAGTAGTTACAACAGTACCATCCACACAAGAGGGAAGTATCAGTAGGCCTGGAAGAACTCCAAAATTCACACTTCTCCCTTGAACTGCATGGGTCCAAGCAGCTCGGTTTTGCGTGTGTGTGTGCAAATTTTTTCCTCATTCCATTGGGAAAGGCGGAGGAGGGATCATGCCTTTTTCCCTGCTCTGAGAGAGGCTTTTTCTGTTCTTTAGCTTGGTACCTCTTAAAAGGTAGCAAAAGGGCAGATCATTATTATTATACTCTTATGTAATCCATATGATCATTATTATTATACTCTTATGTAATCCCTATAATATATACCGTGTTTCCACGAAAATAAGACAGGGACTTACATTAATTTTTATTCCAAAAAACACATTAGGGCTTATTTTCAGGGATGTTTTTTTTCCATGTACAACTATCTACATTTATTCAAATACAGCATGTCATCTTCTTCTGGTTGCTGCACAATGGTGGAGGGTGGGGTTTCACTTAACTGGAGCTTATTCTGGGGGTAGAGCTTATTATTACGAGCATCCTGAAAAATCATACTAGGGCTTATTTTCAGGTTAGGTCTTATTTTTGGGGAAACGGTAATATTATAGTATGTTTTCCAGGAGGGCATATGAGTATTATACAGATTTTGACTACATGGTCATTTTGACTACAAGTCCTTATTTTTGGGGAAACAGGGTAATATTATAGTATGTTTTCCGGGAGGGCATATGAGTATTATATGGATTTTGACTACATGGTCATTTGGTCGCTCTAACCCCAGCATTGTTGAACCGAGAAGTGTACTAAGCATAAAAAGGTAAAGGTAAAGGTTCCCCTTGACAATTTTTGTCCAGTCGTGTTTGACTCTAGGGGGCGGTGCTCATCCCCATTTCCAAGCCATAGAGCCAGTGTTTTGTCCGAAGACAATCTTCCGTGGTCACATGGCCAGTGCGACTTAGACACGGAACGCTGTTACCTTCCCACCGAGGTGGTCCCTATTTATCTACTTGCGTGTGCATGCTTTCGAACCGCTAGGTTGGCGGGAGCTGGGACAAGCGACGGGAGCTCACTCCATCGCGTGGATTCGATCTTACGACTGCTGGTCTTCTGACTCTGCAGCACAGGCTTCTGTGGTTTAGCCCACAGCGCCATCACGTCCCTGCGGTTTAGCCCACAGTGCCACCACGTACTAAGCGTAACAAAACAATAAAAAGAATTCTAATCGGGAGCCAGATTGCTGGAGTTCAGGAGGCGGCAGCAGCAGCGTGAGATAGGCATCTATTAATGGGCCACCTCTTTACCCACTTTTCAATTCTGTTGAGAATTAGATTTTAAGCCTTTGATTTTAAATATTTTAATCAATGCTCTAATATATTTCATGTAATATATTTATATTTTAATGTTTTAATGATTGTTTGAAATAATTATTAATTTGCTCTATGTCACTTTTTGAGATATTGTTAAATATGAGAAACAATGTAGAATGAAATTCAATTCTTTAAAAAAACCCTCCGATTTATGAATGTGGGATAGTGTGCTTCTATAACTATAATTCAAAAAGCCTGGAAATGCCCGAATATTGCTGTACAGTATCATCCCTGCATTGCCAGCAGGAAAAAGGATGCAAGCTGTACACAGCAAAGGGCAGCCTGAATGTTGACAACACCAATGGCAGCAGTCCAGGTGGTCTACGATACCCCTTCTTCTCACTACTATTCACAGACGTTCTTGGACTTCAACTCCCAGAAATCCTGGCCAGAAGAGGTGGTGGTGTAGGCTTCTGGGAGTTGTAATCCAAGAACATCTGGAGGCCCAAGGTTGGGGACCACTGGTCTACAGGATGCACCTTCTGCTCACTACTATTCAGAAAGCGACACCATAGAAGAGCAAATAGCAGACGCTGACTCCTTTTTTCATCAGTTAACCACTTCTTACCTAAACACAAAGCAATTGTTAGGGCTGCTTTTCAATAAGTGTGAATGGTAGTAAGCAGAAAAGGGTATCCTGTAGACCAGTAGTTCCCAACCTTTTCTGGACTGTGGACCGGTTGGGGGTGTGGGGCACCCCCCATGCTTGTGGGTGGGCGGGCTGTGCACGCCTGGGTGGCAGGGCACCCATGTGTGCGGGCTGTGTGTGTGGGGGGGAGTTGTGTGGGGGGAGGGCGGGAGATCTGTCTCCACGGCCTGGTCCTGCCAAGTCCATGGACCGACACCGGGCTGCAGACCAGGGGTTGGGGACCCCTGCTGTAGACCAACGTTCCCCAACCTTGGGCCTCCAGAGGTTCTTGAACTTCAGCTCCCAGAAGTCCTGGCCAGCAGAGGTGGTGGTGAGTTTCTGGGAGTTGTAGTCCAAGAACATCTGGAGGGCCAAGGTTGGGGACCACTGCTGTAGACCATCTGGACTCCTGCCTTTAGTGTTGTCAACATTCTAGCTGCCCTCTGCTATGTAAAGCTTGGCATCTTTTTCATACTGGTAATGTGGGCTACAATATTGTGCAGCGCTATTGGGCCATTTCCTGATATTCTGAATTGTGGATTCAAGAAGCACACTCATAAACCAAAGATTTTTTTAAAGAACTGAATTCCTTCACTTTTTAAAACAGAAATTTAAATATACATACACAACATGCAAATTCCAACAGTAACTTCCCTCATACAGAATTATTCAGTGTTACAGGGCCCCAGAAGATGTGCACATGATCTATACTACGGCTTCTGGGAGAGGATAAAAGCAGAAACAGCTGGGATGTAGCTATAGTTTTTCTTGCCAAAATACTCTGAAAGTTTTGGGGTTTTTTGGACTTAATGAAATGGTGAAACAAAAGTGTGAGCAAGTGCATCGCATAAAACTGAGAAATATACATAACCTTTAACCTCTCAGGTAAATTAATGTTGTGCCTGCATTGCAGAATGCAGACTTAATCCTTTTTTGAATATAAAAAACAACAGGTTGGCCCAACCATTCTCTTTCAAGATAAAACAAGATTGGTCTGTTCAATTTCTTTGAGCTATTTAAAATCTGGCAATGTTTAGGCCCACCTACTTACGACGAGAAGACCACATTTAAAAAACTCCTAGTCCAAACTTTCCCAAATTTGGCACGGAGCAAGAGCAGGCTGTCTTGCTACATCTGTGTCCAATTTGTTGTTGATTTGAAGTCCAGTTTCAAATTATAATTCTTTGTTTTGGCCTGACCCGATTTTTAGAATTGCTTTGTTGAATGCTGATTTCCTCTGCTGCGCAATAACATAGTTATTTACTATCAACAATATTAAAGCAGTATGCCAAACTCTGTCATACTCTCTGGTTTACCAGTATAAATTTAAAGTCTTGCCTGCACCATGATCAAGTTGTTAAATATATCAAAAAACAACAGGGAGATTTTAAGAACAGTTTGTAAACTGAATTCTTGTATATTAACTTTTTTCATATACAACATGGACTAAATTTACCATGTACATAATCTACTATTTCACAGGACCAATACATTCACATAACTAATTTCACAGGACTATCACTTTCAGGACCTGTTTTGCCTAACTTCATTCCACTCTACATAGACAGTGATGGACCCATGTGTTGCCTGAACTAGTATGTTGTATATGTAAGAGATGACACATTTAATTAAAGAGAAGTCTTTGGCTGAAAGAATCAAACAAGAAGATTAGTGTCTGACTCAGATCTATACGATTCTTAAGGAAATATACAACTCAATAGCCAGAATCCTGTTGTCGTTAAGTTATGCTGTGCATCTCGAGTGATGTCATCAGCCACAAATGTCCAGTGAATTCATCAGTGCAGCAACATTACATTATGGCTGTTTCAGGAAATTACGCTTCTCATTCCGCTCCTCCACCCCCTACCCTGCTCCAGGGATCCTTAGTACCCCCTTTGACCTGCGGCAGCTTTTTGGGAGGAGCAATGATTTAAAGCCAGAAAATTGTCACTGGCAATCCTGTTTAGGTACTATAGAAGAAGTTAAGGTAAACTACAGATATCAGATTTCTTAATAACATTGTTACAGTGGTATCCATCCACCACAACCTGTTATTTAGAGGAACACAGTGTACATCCATGACAATAAAAAGGTTTGAGTGTTGGCTTAAAGGTTTTTCTAAAATTGAGCTAAAACATATGACCCATTAGCAGAATTATCCAGGTGTACACATGTTCTTGAGAGACCAAATTGCTAACATGCGCTGGATTATGGAGAAAGCCCGAGAGTTCCAGAAAAACATCTACTTCTGCTTCATTGACTATGCAAAAGCCTTTGACTGTGTGGACCACAACAAACTATGGCCAGTTCTCAAATAAATGGGAACGCCTGACCACCTTATCTATCTCCTGAGAAATCTATATGTGGGACAGGAAGCAACAATTAGAACTGGATATGGAACAACTGATTGGTTCAAAATTGGGAAAAGAGTACGACAAGGCTGTATACTGTCTCCATGCTTATTTAACTTATATGCAGAATACATCATGTGAAAGCCAGGACTGGATGAATCCCAAACTGGAATTAAGATTGCCAGAAGAAATATCAACAACCTCCGATATGCAGATGATACCACTCTGATGCCAGAAAGTGAGGAGGAATTAAAGAACCTCTTAATGAGGGTGAAAGAGGAGAGTGCAAAAAATGGTCTGAAGCTCAACATCAAAAAAACTAAGATCATGGCCACTGGTCCCATCACCTCCTGGCAAATAGAAGGGGAAAATATGGAGGCAGTAACAGATTTTACTTTCTTGGGCTCCATGATCACTGCAGATGGAGACAGCAGCCATCTGCAGTGTCCATAAAATTAAAAGACACCTGCTTCTTGGGAGGAAAGTGATGACAAACCTAGACAGCATCTTAAAAACCAGAGACATCACCTTGCCGACAAAGGTCCGCATAGTCAAAGCTATGGTTTTTCCAGTAGCGATGTATGGAAAAGAGAGCTGGACCATAAAGAAGGCTGACTGCCGAGGAATTGATGCTTTTGAATTGTGGTGCTGGAGGAGACTCTTGAGAGTCCCCTGGACTGCAAAGAGAACAAACCTATCCATTCTGAAGGAAATCAAGCGTGAGTGCTCACTGGAAAGACAGATCCTGGAGCTGAGGCGCCAATACTTTCGCCATCTCGTGAGAAATGAAGACTCCCTGGAAAAGACCCTGATGTTGGTGTGAAGGCAAGGCAAGAGGAGAAGGGGACGACAGAGGACGAGATGGTTGGACAGTGTCACTGAAGCTACCAACATGAATTTGACCCAACTCCGGGAAGTATTGGAAGATTGGAGGGCCTGGCGTACTCTGGTCCATGGGGCCACAAAGAGTTGGACACGACTTAACGACTAAACAACAACACATGTTCATGCTCTCTTTAAGGTGCCCTGGTTGCATTAACCTCACCTACACTTTCCTTTAATTCTACCCCAACTGCTGCAGTTGTCTCTACTTAAATTGGTGCTGTGAGTGTGAGTTTCCTCTCCTGCCTCTTCCCTTCTCGGCACAGTGTGCAAACTGCCATAACCTCTTCCAGCTCAGCTAATGACAGAGGTGGGTAGCAAGGAGAGAACATGATGCAGAGTGACAATTCTCAGACTGAGTCCTGGGTGTGCTGGGGAAGGAGGATGCCGAGGATGCTGACACAGATGGTGCTATCTGGTGGTGGAAAGGGTGAAAAAAAAAGATGTATCACCAGCTTTCTTTATTTCATTCCTTGTTGTGTCCTTCTCCCTGTTGCCTTGAAATACCATCTGATAAAAAATGTTGCAGGCTACATTTGCATGGAAAAGCAGTCAGAAGTGTGAAGAGAGTAGCTTCAAACCTGTGCGCTGATCTGAAACAACGGGTGGACACTGCTAGAAGCAAGATACTTGTTTTAACAAAGCATGAATGGCTGGGTGCAGACAGTAGAGGAAGTGTACGGTGAGAATCTGCACTATGCTTGAGCAAGACTGATTTTACTTAAAGGGATTAGAAAGGGCGTTGTCATGTTATTTTCTGACCACAAGATGACAGGGTGATTATCTGTACTGCTCTAGATTTTTTTTCTGAGGTGGGGGGAACTAACCTTGCCCATAACAATAAAGAATTCTTAGTATTATGCATTTCTATGCTAACACTACAGTCCTAATATGATCTAATGCCCAGAAGTAAGCCATTACCTCCAAGATACTTATTGCAAAGTTCATTGGTGCAGAACTGGAGACTAGGTTACCTCTTGGGTATAAGCTCTGCATGGGGCTTACTTTAAGGTACATTGACATTAGCTTGTTCTGTATAAAACCTGAGAAAGCAAAAAAGAAGTGGAGGCAGGAGAAAGAGTTGTTTTGGACTTCTGTGGCTGCAGAACATTCCAAATAAGCTCTCCATCTCTCCTTGTGGCTCTTCTCTCCTCCTCTGCCTTGCTTTCTTACTCTGCTGCTTCTTTCTCTCTCTTTCTCTTTTCAACTTCTTCCCACATTCGGGTTGCTCTGAATACTGTATTTGATTTCTTCACAGACACATACTTCTGTGATAAAGCTGAAGCCCCAATCTACTATTTTGCCCAGAAAGAATTCCTATGCACCTATATGATACAAATTAGTTTCCTGAAGCGCTGGCAAGCTGTTTGAGCAACGCCTAGACAATACTATAATAATGAGGTGAAGTCACCTTATGGGAATGTTCCTATATTAAACAAACATTTTAAAGGTCCTGTATCTCCTAGAATGACAGGACAGATCAACTTAACATTTAAAAACAAAAAGGGCAGATTACTAAAATAACTTAGTTTAAAAGTATTTGTCCAACCACCTCCAAATTTGGCTAAAGGCAAGTCTATACTGTCTACAGCCACTGTGCCAAATGTGGTCCTGATTCATGAGGTAATTTAAAAGTTAAAACTTTGTGTTGGGACTAAGCTCTCCGATAAGTAATGGCTTGCAGAATGCTATTTTGACTGGTCAGGCAATCAGAGGTACACTCCTGTGTACCTGTAATCATCTGTTTAAGAAGGGGAGTATCTGTCCAGTGATACTGGCAAATAAAAATGGAATACTAGGTTTTGCTAAAAAAAAAATAATCAAAGTGATTAAGGGCAGTGTGGTGAACAGGCTCTACATTGGTGCTGGGGAAAACGGGTATGAAAGCTGAAAGGTTGACCAAGTGAGATGGTAATTGTCACACACCTACCTGGGAATAAATTTCACTGAGAAAAATAAATAAATAAATAAATAAATAAATAAATAAATAAATAAATAAATAAATAAATATAAAATTGAGTTCTAACTCAACAGATGGATTAAAATAGCCAAAGTAACTCAGATAAATAAGCAAACAAATAAATATATAATTGAGTTCTAACTCAACAGATGGATTAAAATAGCCAAAGTAACTCAGATAAATAAGCAAACATGTATACTTAAAGCATTTACAGCTAATGAAGATGATAAGTCTATGTTGCACCAAATACTGTACAGCAGTAACATTTGACCATAACCTTTAAATTTTGGCCATAATGCTGAATTTCACTGATTTCAATCTTTAAGCTTAGACAAGTGTCTCCTTGGGGAAGGCAGCAAGAGAAAATAAAAAATAAAAAATGGAGGGGATGTGCTACAAAACCAGTAAAAAGATTTTAAACAAATTGGTACCTTAAACACACGATTGGTATATTTAACATACACATTTGGTGCACTGCACCCCAATTGTCCAACGTCCCAAGGGCATAAGTAGGAATGAACTTTCTATCAAATGAGAGAAAACTTTACGAACTGCTCATGACAGAAGCTGTTAAAATGTTTCTTCATTTTCTTCTTGAGGACTTTAAAACAATACTGAATGAATGAAAAGGGGAAAAGCCAACTCAAGAACACTCCTCTTTGACTCTTCTACTTACAAAGCTGTGGGAAGAAACAAGTGTCTCTTCCTTGTTTGCGATGACTGTCCCACTGAGACTACGTGCAATACGACGGATGTTCTCTGCACTGTACATCTCTTCTTCTGGCTCCTTGCCATGGTTTTTTGTGTATGGTACCTACAGACATATTGTGAGATTCAGAAGGCTATCCGTATAGAAAATGGGCATATAACACTATTAGCCAAAGGACCAGTACACCACCTTTATTTATATATTTAAAAAAACAAGACTTAAAGACCAAATTGAGTCCATTTACATTTCTTTAGCCTAACGGAACAAAAGTATTAAAGACTGTGATTGACCATTACCCTCAACCGTAGGAGCTGCTTTTTACCTTGAAACATATATCAGATTTCTAGATAAAATACTTTGACAAAATTTAGTAAAATTTTCTTCTACACTTGCATTTACTTTGTATGTTTCTTCCAGAATAAGGCTCATCAAACTTTTGTTTAAAAAATTATGTTATAGACTCTTGCCTTTATCCTAAAAAGTTGTGCTAATAAACATAATTAAATTAAATGAAATGGAAAACGTTTGAAATCATAATAATCAATGGTCAAAATCCTGTTGCTTAGTGTAGTATATCGCACTATAGGTTCATTGAATCAGTGGGGATTTGGTTAGCAATCTCCTCTCCAAGTTCCCTTCAAATAGGTCTAATCTAACTGCGATTTAGGGTTTGGCTACATGGCTCATTTGGAGTGGGCTGGTGTGGGCTTAGTAGGCTCACTTAAGGTCAGGTACAGATCCAGGATGCCATGTGATCCAAATGGTATATGCATCTCAAGCAGCCCTATGTGGTCTGCCACCTTTAAGAGTGTGTGTGTTTAGGGGGGAAGAAGCCAATCTGCTGACTCTGCTGCTGTTGCCAGCAGATCTGCCAGCTGAGCAGAGCAAGCCCCAACCCTGATGATTCTAGGGAGCTGAGATGGCTGCAGAGTCAGTGCCGAACGGTGTGGTTAAGATGTATTTTAATGAGCATTTTTCTAATACGCCAAGGAACAAACAGCTTCCTTAAACCTCCTTTTAGATTTGCTACACCAATCAACAGCATTTTGGCCAATGACTATGAGAACATTTTTAAAGCTGCTTTAAAGAGTTGGGTCTTCCCTTTTTTCCCCTAAAAGCAGTGAGAGTAGTGTGTAATCTACAATGTGCAATGGGAAAACACATGAGAAATCTCTTTCCTAGTAGACCTCTGCAGGTTATGATTTTCTCCAGAGGTGCTCTCTTGGGAAGAGAGCACTCCTTGGAAAAGACTTTGATGTTGGGAAAGTGTGAAGGCAAGAGGAGAAGGGGACGACCGAGGTCATGAGATGGTTGGACAGTGTCATCGAAGCAACCAACATGAATTTGACACAACTCCGGGAGGCGGTGGAAGACAGGAGGGCCTGGCGTGCTCTGGTCCATGGGGTCACGAAGAGTCGGACACGACTAAACGACTGAACAAACAAAAGCTCTCTTGGGACTATTTACATAAGCTTTATAACACTTGGTTTTTAAGGATGCAAGTAGATGTGATATGGAGGATCAGTTCAATTAGTTCAGTTTACTAATATGGTCAACATGATAGACACTTTACGACTGTCACAATAAATTAAAACATTTCATTTATTAGATAAATAGACAATATTAAAAATAGATTAATCATATAAATTTATATAACATTTCCTGTCACAGATTAAAATATTGTTAAAAATTTAAAATGTTGCATAGAATATCTTTACAGAGCTTACAAAAAGGTGCAAAAAAAACTTGCACAAAGAACTAGAGACTGCACAGTGACGCCTAAAAAATACTTCCTAGCAATCTCAACACCAGGGCTGCTCAGAGTGAATCCTGATTTTAACAAAAAGTGATTTGCAGTAATGGAGAATATTGCTGATTCATTTTTCTAATGAACAACTGTTTGTTTCCTTTGGCAGATAATGGTGGGGCAGAGACATTCACCACTATTACCACGTACTCCAGTCCTGGTCAAATTCCACCCACATAGCTGTGACTGATTTTCTAAAAAACCTAGTGGAGATGCTCCTCATAGATCTTTCATGTCACATAAAGTTTAGTCCTAAGATATTGGGTATCTTAATAGGAGTTGGGGAAACTCTTTGGATGTTCAAATTACTCCCTTATATGTCATGCAGCACAATTTATTTATCTGAGCAAACTCATGGTAAGCTATGGAGAGGTAAATATCCTAGACCGGCCTGCTGCTAGTTATGCATTTAAGTTGTAGTTATTTGTGACACCAGAGATGGAAATCCAGAAGTGGGTTAATTGTTTTACGCTGCTGAAAAACCAATAAGACCCCTAATATATGTGTTTGCCTACAGTATCATCAGGATCTACCAATAAGATAATCTCTCCCACCCTACCATAAAGGTTAACTATTCTCAAATTATTTTATCTGTTATATAAACATTACTCATTAGTTGCTCATGTTTAGCCTACAAGTTTTATAACCTTAATTCTGTATAACCTCTCCTTGTCTACCATGAAGAATCATTTCAGCCCATTTTTTAAACATGTCATTATTACCTTAGAGACTGGAGATGCTATAGTTCCATAGATGTTGCGTTCAATTTCTGCAGTTGGTGTTTTTGAAAGACCCATGCCAGCTATACTGTGCATCTTCCTTGTAGTCAAGTTTCCAGATGCTATGGTGGGGGTCAGAATGGGGGGAAGAAATAGAATTAAAGAGAAGTTCAAAGTATATATTTGTGGCATATAAAGAGATTACGTACCTGTAACTCTGGCTCTTCGAGTGGTCATCTGTAAATGCACACTAATCGGTTTATGAGCCTGCACAAAGAAGCCTCGGAATATTCTAGAGCTTAAGCACATGGTGCTAGGACCTCCCACACGCTACCCTTAACCCCGTCACAGAGTGCCTCAGTTCTGTAGAACAGTCTGCAGCTGCCCAGTATGCACAGGCATACGTGATGGACAGACGGGAAGATGGGAGGGAAGTGTCAATTCACAGATGACCACTTGAAGAACTAGAGTTACAGGTAAGTAACCTCTTTTTCTTCTTTGCGGTCTCTGTGAATGCACACTAATGGGTGACTAGCAAGCTGACTTATCTGGAGGAGGGGCAACACGAGAACACAGAGGCCAGAACAGCACGGCCAACGGAGGCTTCAGCCTTGGCACAGACATCGAGATGATAATGGGCCGCCAAAGTAGACGGCGTAGCCCATGTGGCTGCCTTGCAGATGTCAGACAGGTCTACACCTCCTAGAAATACTGTAGAGGAAGCCACAGCTCTGGTTGATTGGGCCCTCACAGTGTGTGGCAAGGGCGTCTAGGCCAGCTCATACACCAGTTGAATAGTCAAAACAATCTACCTAGAGATCATTTGGGATGTGACTGGTGCTCCCCTGGAATGACTTTGATAATTGATACAACAGCCTATTTGAATTGTGGAAGGACAAGGAGCGAGACACGTAGTAGGACAGTGCTCGCTTGACATCCGGGGAGTGCAAAGAACATTAGAGATGTGAAGTTGGTGCAGGGAAAAATGTAGGGATCACAATAGGCTGGCTTAAATGAAAATAGGTGGCCACCTTGGGCACAGAGGAAAAGTCTGGGTAGAGTGTCACCTTGTCTGGGTGGAACTGAAGGAAAGGAGGGTCCACTCGAAGAGCAGCCAGCTCCCCTGCCCTATGAGCCAAGGTAACGGCCAGGAGGAAGGCAGTCTTCAGAGAGAGCAGTTGTTCAGATGCTGTAGCCAGGGGTTCAAACAGAGGCCTCATGAGGCAGTTAAGTATAAGCTAAAGGGACCACTGTGGGGTAGGAGGCTTGTATGCTGGGCGCATGTTCCTGAAGCCACATAAGAACTGCTTGAGAGTAGGATGGCGGAACAAAGCTACTGCTTCTGAAGAGTGTGGTTGATGAGCCACTATTGCTGACATATAAACTTTCAGTATAGAATGCGAAAGGCCCCATTGGAAGAGATGGAGGAACTGGAGGATTACATCGAGGGATGTCGGCTGCACAAGTAAGTGACGTAAGGATGCGAATGTACGAAAAACTTTCCACTTGTAGGAGTATGTCCGTGTGATAGAGCACTTCCCCACATGGCTTAAAATGTTGGCTACAGTGGGGGTAGCCTCCACACCGTTAGCTGAAGGGAGTCTAAGTCCAGATGAAACGTCCTGCCATGATGCAAGGCCAGTAAGTGGGTAATTGCCAGGAGATGGAGATGCTCCGCTGCCCTCTGCTGCAGGGTGGAGAACTACAGTTGGCAGGGCCACCACGGGGCAATCATGACAGCGTCTGCATTGTCCTGGCAGACCTTGATGATTGACTTCTGGATGAGTGGAATTGGTGGAAACATGTACAGAAGGCCGATGGACCAGCTGGTCATGAAGGCACCCCCCTGGGAATGACAGCTGATCCCTGCTCGAGAGCAATAACAACTGCACTTCTTGTTGTCTGCAGAGGCAAACACATCCAGCTGTGGTCTGCTCTAATGACGTCAGAGAAGACGAAAGATCTTGTTGTCGAGTGTCCACTTATGGCTGCAAGATTGGAGCCTGCCGAGATGGTCTGCTAGGGTATTCCCCTCTGATGCCACATGAACTGCCACAGGGTAAACGTGGCAGGTATAACACCATTCCCAGAGCTGGATGGCCAGATAAAGAAGGGGGAGGGAATGAGTGCCACCTTTTTTGTTGATACAGAACACGGCCGTTGTGTTGTCCAAAGCCACCTGAACCACACAGCCTGCAATTAGCTGTTTGAATGCTTGAGAAGCTTTAACAACTGCAAGCAGCTCCAGGAAATTGATGTTAAGTTGAACCTCGCTCGGAGACCATTAGCCGTGAACAGCCGTGTATCCCCAGCCAGTTGGGCTGGCATCCATGGTCAGTTGGATCCACAGAGCAAGAGGGCTGAACAACCTTCCCACCAAGAGGGTCGAAGGAAGACCCCACCAGGTAAACTGGGATGCCAGCTCAACAGTAACCTCTAGCAGCTTGGATGGAGGTTTGAGCAGTGCATTGAAGAGGGAGAGGTACCATGCCTGTAGGGATATCATTTTCAGGCATGCATGCTGGACCATAGCTGTGGTAGATGCCATGAGGCCCAATAGACGCTGAGTATGTTGGGCCAACACCATAGCTCCCGGGAGAAAATATTTTAACATGAGCTGGATTTTTGCTATCCTGTCCTCCGGCAGGTAAGCTTGGCCCAGCGTGGAGTTGAGGACCCCTCCAATGTAAATTACCTGTTGAGTAAGTTGTAAGGTGGAGTTCTTCAGATTGACTTGGAGATCTAGGGCTGATAGAAGAGAGAGTTGTTGCCATGTCAAGACAGTGCCACCAGCAGCCAGTCGTCCAGGTAAGGGAAAATAGTGATGCCTCAAAGGTGAAGATATGCTGCCACAGGGGCCAAACATTTCATGAACACTCGTGGGGCGGTTGACAGCCCAAATGGAAGGGCCTTGAATTTGTAAGCTACTCCTTTGACAGAGAATCTGAGAAAGCGGCGATGGTCCCGATGGATGCTGATGTGAAAATAGGTGTCTTTGTGAACCAATCATTTTGTCTGAGCATCTGGATGGTATCCTTGAGGGAAATCATACGGAATCGCTGAGGAGTGATATAAAAGTTGAGGTGATGTAGGTCCAAGATGGGGCAAAGTCCCCCGTCCTTCTTTAGAATTGTGAGGAGAATAAAAGACGAGTGTCACGTCTGGGTCGTGTACCTGCACAATGGCATCCTTCTGAAGCAAAGAGCATACTTCATCTTCTAGAGGAGGAGAGGGATTGGTGGTTTTGAGCAACCCTGTGACAGGAAGAGCATCACGGTCGATGGCATAGCCCCTGACTATGATGGTGGGGACCCAGGAGTCCGAAGTGACGCCCTGCCAGATATTGAAGAAGGGGGGCAGGTGAACAGAGGAGTGGATGACTGCTGGTAGATTAAAGAGGTCAAAGATTCTGTCTAGCCTTATGGTCATGGTGACACACCTGTTGTTGGGGACACTGTCTGCCCGCCTGCTGGTGAAGGGGTGCAGGTGGAAATCCTGAGGGCTGAGGTCTCTGTCGGTCCTGAGAACGTCCTGAGGACGGCGCCAGACATTCCAAGGATGGTACTCTGGTGTGGAATACGACCTAGCCATCTTCTTCAACTTCAACAAGTTGTCAAGGATCTCGTCCATCTTCTCATCAAACAGACCCAGGCCATCAGAGGGAAGGTTCTCAATCCCTGACCTCGCATCCTCCGAAATGCCCGCAGACTGTAGCCAGGCATGGTGGCGCAAGGTAACTGCCGTGGCTACCTGTTTAGAGGCAGCATCGACAACATCTCACGCTGCTGTGTGCTCTTGCTGTGCCAGCCCCAACGCTTCTTGGTGGCATGAGAAGCCCAAGGTTCTGATCTCCTCTGGAGCAGCCTCGAGGGCAGGCAAAGCCCTATTCCATAGGTGCCGATGGTACGCACCCATGGCAGCAGTATAATTGGCCACTCTCACCACAAAGGAAGCCAAAGAATATATTTGACGGCCAATAACATTGAGCTTTCTACCCTCCCTGTTATTTGGTGTCATCGCAGAGCGATTTCTGGCTTTGTTTTGTGTGGCGTTGATGACAAAAGAGTTAGGCACGGGATGCTTTGATAGAAAGTCCATGTTCTCCCCATGAATTTTATAAAGATTTCCCACCCTCCTGGGGATCTGATGAGCTGTAGACAGCTTCGCTCACGACTCTCTCATTAGTTTCAACAGAAATGAAATAACAGTGAGGTGGAGGGAGGACTTTGGTCCTGCGTAATGTCCTCATATACAGTGGTGCCTCGCATAGCGAACGCTTCGCTATGCGATGAAACCGCACAACGATGGGTCCCGGGCCATCGCTGGAGCATTCGCTCAGCGATGGCCCCTATGGGCTTTTTTCGCTATGTGATGATCGCGCGGACGCGATCAAAGCATAGCGAACAGCTGATCGGCAGTTCCAAAATGGCCGCCGCTAAAACAAAATGGCGACCGCTGTTTTGCCTCGCTAATGAGGCATCCAAAATGGCCGCCGCAATGGAGAAAACTCGCAGAACGGTGAGTTTTAAGTCCATAGGAACGTAGTAAATCAGTTTTAATACGTTCCTATGGACTTTTTTGTTTCACTTAACGATGGATTCGCTGAGCGAGGGTTAATCCGGAACGGATTAACCTCGCTAAGCGAGGCACCACTGTACTTTGTCTATTTCCTCTGATGCAGGCTAATCAACTGCCAAGTCCATCACCTTTGCAATTCTCAATATCAACTGAGAATACGAGGTGTAGTCCTTGGATGGAGAGGGAGGGTGACTCTCTGCCATGTCTGAATCTGGGGTGGGAACATTTGGCGGTGACTCCTTTTGCCCATCGATTTCAGAGGCCTCCAAATCGGTATCGAGGCCAAGGGGAATGTGGTCTGGGGAGGATGAGAGATCATTGCACAAAGGTGCTGGATGATAGCTCCCAGTCTTGACATTTCTCCTCCCTTCTCCCTCTTATCTAGGAGCCGGCTGATCTGGAGACGGATGGTGTCTTGGGCCCCAGTTGGAGTGGGAAGCTCCTTGTGGCGCCACTTTAACTCACAGGCAAGCAGGAATCATCAACAGTCCAAGTCAGTCCAGGAGGTCCAACGAAGTAAGTTTTCTGAAACAGAATAAAGAGAAGCTCCAAAGCTGAGGTGCTGCAAGAAAGGAATTGAGGCACTTGTGCCGGGGGTGGGATTAAGGGAAGCATGTGGGAGCTCCTGGCACCATGTGCTTAAGCTCTAGAATATTCCGAGGTTTCTCTGCACAGGCGTACTAAACCCATTAGTGTGCATTAACAGAGACCACGAAGAAGAATCAGGTGTTTCCTGCCAGTTGACTAGAAGAAAAACTTTTAGCTCTGCAGGGCTTCAATATCAGTCCAATAAATGAATGTTTTACCAGATACAATTTTTAAGTTTCAGAACCAATTAAGTTATCATCTGAAAATAAATAGTTCACTTTTGCTATATGTATTATGAGTATTAGCCAAATATTTATATCTTACTTCCACTCTACCTTTCATAGTAACTCCCTCAAGTTTATTGTATTTTCAACTTCATTTCCTGTCTGAAAAATGAGGGACAAGGCTCCCAGCTGGGTGACTATGATAACTTTCTTGCTTTAGGTTGTTTAAATACCGTAATTTTACAGTTAGCATTTCTGTCAGTATTAAATGAAGAAAGATGCTAGCATTCAATACAGGCGTACCTCGGTTTACGAATTTAATGAATTCTCTGGGACGTTATGTAATGCGAAAAATTTGTAACATGAAATGAAGTTTGCCACAGGAACGGGGGCAGCACTAAAAACCTCCAAACACAATGCAGCCTGGGGAAACTTGCTTCGTATTGTGGGGAAAAAATCGTAAACCAAGGCATTATTTTCAATAGATTTCCGTTTGTAAACCGAAAATTACGTTAACTGAGGTGTTCGTAAACCGAGGTACTACTGTAGTCAAATAATCCATGGCTGTGTGAATCACAATCAGCAACACTATCTCTCTCTCTCTCTCTGTGTGTGTATGTGTGTGTGTGTGAGAGAGAGAGAGGGAAAGAGAGAATTGATGAATGAACTGATTTGGCTGACCAGCCAGCACAGCATGACAACACTTTAGCCAACAGGTAAGAATGTTTCAAATTTTGGGAAAAGGGAATTTTTCTGCTTTGTAGCTAAATTGAAGTACAGTGGTGCCTCGCATAGTGACGTTAATTGGTGCAGCAAAAATTGCTGCAAAGCAATTTCGTCGCTATGCAATTTAAAAAAGCCCATAGGAATGTATTGAAACCCCTTCAATGCATTCCTATGGGCTTAAAACTGACCTTTAAGCGAAGATCCTCCATATGGCGGCCATTTTCGCTGCCCGGAAAGCGAGGAATCCGTCCCTAAACACAGCGGGCGGCCATTTTTTTTTACCCGGTGGCCATTTTGGAACTGCCGATCAGCTGGGCAAAAATAATCGCTTTGCGATAATCGGTAAGCGAAACAGGATACTGATCATCGCAAAGCGATTTTCCCCATTTAAAACATCGCAAAAAGTTCGTCAGTATGCGATTCATCTACATCGCAAAAAGTTCATCAGTATGCGATTCGTCTTTAAACGGGGTGCCCGTTAAGCGAGGTACCACTGTATAAATGAAAGCAGTGGGGATGCCCGAATAAACAGATGGGTGAATGGATGAATGATCGGATATGAGCTTGGGGTTTCTGTGTCAATGGCTGCCCATACGAATGGCTGCTTATGAGAGTGGCCCCCTATGAAAAGAGCTCCCTTTCTCCCAGAGTGTAGAATATTATTAATCATTAGCTCAAAAATCTAATCCATTTATGTTAATGTTGGATGGGGGCACATTTTTAACATTTTGTTATGTGGATAACTAATATTTAAAGATTATATTAATGTTGAAACCACAAACTTAACAGTGACAATAACGTGTCATACTTGTATATATTATTTACTCATTCTTCAAATACTAGATTTTTGTCTGGATTGGAAAAGGTCAATAAGGAATTATGTGTTTAGCCAGCTCATGGACATTACAATACTGAAAATGGGGGCTTTGCGATGATCGCTTCCCTGCGATCATCGCAAAGCAAAATTTCCCCATAGGGGCCATCGCAAAGCGATCGCTCTTGCGATGGCAAAAAGTCCATCGCAAAGCGATTTCATTGCTATACAGAGCGATCGCTATGCGAGGCACCACTGTATTTAGAACAGCAAATAAAATCAACACTAAAAATACATTTAAAAGCTATAAAGTACAACAATTCATTAAAAAAACCCTCTCAGACTGCTAGTTACTAAGGAGAAGCCTGCCTGAAGAGAAAGGTCTTTGCCTGCTTCCAGAAGAATAGCAGAGATAGGCCAGCCTGTCCTCCTGTGGGAGGGAGTTCCAAAGTCTGGGACCAGCAACAGAGAAGGCCTTCTCTCGTGTCCCCACCAAATGCACCTGTGAAGGTGGTCCAACTGAGACAAAGGCATCCCCTAATGATCTTAACACCCAGGCAGGTTCATAAAGGAAGACACAGTCCTTGAGATAACTTGGTCCCTATTAGAGATGGAGGTATTTGTATACGAATATCCCCCACAGGTGCAGATAATGAGGGTCTGGCCCCAGGGGCCTCTTGCCATTCCGCTGCTGCCATGAGCTCCGCGGTGCCTTCCTGTCGCGGCCTCTTGCCATTCCGCTGCTGCCATGAGCTCCGTGGTGCCTTCCTGTCGTGCTCCATTGCTTGCGATGGATTAACCACTCTTGGCAGAAGGCAGGATGATGAGAATCTCTGCCAGGTCGCAGAGTGGCTAATCCATCGCAAGCAATGGAGAGATAGGAAGGCACCATGGAGCTTGCAGCAGCGGTGGAATCATGAGTAGTCAGTCTGGCATTCCGCTGCTGCCATGAGCTCCGTGGTGCCTTCCTGTCGTGCTCCATTGCTTGCGATGGATTAACCACTCTTGGCAGAAGGCAGGATGATGAGAATCTCTGCCAGGTCGCAGAGTGGCTAATCCATCGCAAGCAATGGAGAGATAGGAAGGCACCATGGAGCTTGCAGCAGCGGTGGAATCATGAGTAGTCAGTCTGGCCCTAGGGGGCCAGACCCTCGTTATCTGCACCTGTGGGGGGGAATTTGTATTCGTATATGAATACCCCCATCTCTAGTCCCAATCCATTTAGAGGTTTACATGTTAGATCCAGCACTTTGAATTTTTCCTGGAAACAAATCTGCAGCCACTGGAGTTGCTGTAACAGGGAGGGTTATTTGATCCCTGTAACCAGTCCCAGTTAATGTTAGATCCAGCACTTTGAATTGTTCCTGGAAACAAATCTGCAGCCACTGGAGTTGCTGTAACCAGTCCCAGTTAACAATCTGGCTACAGCATTTTGGACCTGCTGAAGTTTCTGAACATTTCCCAAAGGCAGTCTCATGTAGAGTGCATTGCAGTAATCTAGCCATGATGTAACTAAGGTATGTGCCACTGGGGCCAGATCAGACCTCTCCAGGAATTGATGCAGCTGGTTTCAGCCCCCATTTCATCGGCAAGGAATTTCTGTCTATTTCTACTTTTAGAATTTAAGGAATTTGTAAGTCTGTCAACTTCAAATATAAACCTCAGAATATATCCTTTACATAAATTAAACAATTTCATCATGGTTAATAAGAATGGAGAACTACTTTAAACTATTTATTATTAAGTTTATTAAAAATATTCTTTGTCATGAGGATCCAAGCATCAAATGTGATGCTCTTGCATAAAAGAAAAACAGATATGACTTCAAGCATTAGGCAAAAGAGGGTATTTGCAGAAGTCTTAGCTTCTGCATGGAAATTTGAGAGCCCTGCATACTGAGAGAACTTGCACCGAAATTGAAAAATAAAGTACCTCAACATCAAAGTATTTTGGTTAAGAGGAAAACGACAAGAAAATTTTCTCGGTCATACAGATTTACAGGTATTGTATGTGCAATCCTTCACCCCCCAAAATTAAAAGTGTTCCAAATGTTAGATAATAAAAATGCATTGCTAGTTGGTGCTACAGTACATTTTTCTCCACATTTTATGCACATGTATTGGCCTGATACAAGCAAAAACTACTAAGCTGCTGGTTTTAATCTAATAAGGAATGGAATATTTGCAGATTATTAGTGAATGGAGCCCCTACCTCTTTCAAAAGTATTTTTGTACAAAATAAGGTTGCACAAAGTATCACAGTCAACCACCAGCACACACATAGAATTTACAGTAATTTTACCTGTCTTGCCCAAGAGGTGCCAGGAATTGTCCAGTCTTCCCAATACAGCCTGACTTGTCTTGTGTGCCTGTAAGCTAGCCTGATATAGAGACTCCAGCTCAGATATCTCCTGCTCAGTGTCTTGATTCCACTGTGGGTGCTTCTGCATTGGATCCTCTCCGAAAATGATTTGACTGGACACAGGTGACTTTTTGGCAGGTGCCATGAGCCAAGTGCTATTCTTGCAATCCACTGAAGAACTATAATACCTTTTAACATTGTCTACCCAACTATCCACAGGCATAGATGCAACTGAGCCAGCAGGTTTTCTGTCATTTATCAGTTTCACTTCTGCCTCACGATTGAACTCTCCTAGGTAGAAATGAGGATCCATGGAGCTTTGCTTTGTTTTTTTGCATGGCTCTTTGTTGTATGATCCAGAACTCTTAGATGTCATACTGTGTGTATCAAAACAATCTTCAGAACTCAATGCATCTCTAGAACTCAGATATGAGTTCACCTTTCCAACAGACCATGTTCCATTCTCTTGTTGTCCAACAACTGGCTGTCTATAACCAAGGAATGGAGGACCACTGTAGGTTTCCTGCAGTAATGTTGGATTATTCTGATCATGGCAGACAGCTCCTTTCCTTTCTTTCCCATGAGTGCCTTCCTTCTGAGAGCCCTCCTGCAGCCGCTGAAATTGTTCTGCAAGGGAGCGAACATGTCCCTTGCTACAAATCATCTCAGGTTTCAGAAAATCCCCATTTACAAATTCTTTCTGTGGGTGATGCAAACTCTCATGACTACTGGCTTGGAGGTACCTATTAGTAGTCTGTAATGGATCTGGAGGACAATGTGGCAAAGGGGAGAGAGAAGCCAGTGTTACTATATGATTAGTCTCCTGCTGGGCAATATTAGGCCACTCTGTAAAACTTGATGGCGTGAAGCATGGGTTATGTAAGCCTTTTTTATCAGATGGCTCCTGAATTGGATATGAAGAGGGAAAGAGTGTAGGCAAAGAACCAGAGTTTACCATGTTAATTTTGGTTTTGCAATATGGTGTGAGAGAAGCTGTTACATTATGTACTTCCTCAAGCTTACCACTATTGCTGCAGCATTTGTCTTTTACACTAACAGGAAAAACTCCTTCAAGCTGTACATCACAGTTGATTTCGTTTTCACTTTGAATGGATCTGTCACCCACCCCATGTACAGAGTTAAAAGGGGGAGCTTGATCGTTGAAACCAGCAGAAGCAGCTTGAAAGGTCACAGAAGTTTGGTGAGAGGGCCTGCTTTCAGAAGGGGGCGAAAGAAAAGACTTGGGATACGATGACTGCATTTCATGAAGGGAAGCAGGTGGATGGAAGTAAGAACTGGACCCAAGTTCTGCTTCTCTGCTGGGTTCCAGTACCATCTTCTGACTCAACAGTACTTGGAGCGGGACAGCCTGTTCACTGAAATACACAAAGATATAGTCAATTACTATTGCTTCCCAAATGGAAAACAGATTGTATGCCTAATTTGAAACCTATTTGAGTTTATCTTTAATAAGTCATGTTATTAACTCATCCTTTTCCAGAATATTTTGATAAGTTGGAGTGAGTGTGGGAAAAAACATTGCACATTTTGGGGTAACGTATAGCCTTTCAGAGATGAGTACCATTCATGGTGAGCATTGTGAACCACAAACAGAACCCACAACAAAGACAGAGAACATGCAATCTGTCTTATGAATTCTGAGAGTAAGAGAATGTCTTATTTAAATATCAGGAAGACCAAGGTTTGAGTTACAGACATTATCTCCCATAATATGTTAACTTGTTTAGGACTGTTTTCATATTTCAAGGTTAAAGTCTTCTCATGCGCAAATGTAGAAGAAAAGTTCAAATCTTAATGCAGAAGACCAACCAATAATGGAGTAAATTCTTAAAAATGAGAAACAATGACCACAGTAATGTGTAGAGATGTGCAAGCCTGTGGAAGAACCCCCAAGGAAAAAACTGTTCCCAGTCCCACCTTGATATGCAGTTCTTTTTTTCTGATTGCTTTTGTCAGAGCTTTCATGTCTCTAATACTGTTTGCCAGCTGATTTACTCTTAGAATTGGTATATTATGTTTATACTCTTTTAAATTTGTTCTTTTAAAAACTTTAACATAAGTAGTTCTTAAAAATAAACACATCAAGTGATATTGAGGCAGTTAGGATATGTCACATTTTTAAAACATATCACAATTCTATTTTCAGAATTTTACCTACACTTACACTGACTACACTAATTTATCCTACAAACGTGAGTAAACATATAGACTATTTAGTATATTACATTTTATTGTTCTGGAGAGAAAGCTAGAATTATGAACTATAACCAAGGCAAAATATTGGTATTTGATTTCTTCATCTTTTCCCCACAAGTGATTTCATCTATGCTAAATCATCACGATTCATGCATATCTGGATTAATAGTGGACCAATATTGCATGATCTAGGACTGTGCAGACATTACAGTACTCTAGCAGTACGTGTGAGTGAGAGCAGAGGGGATCAAAAACATTCAGGAGACCAGATTCACTGAATACTGGTTTAGACAAAGGAGAAAAAAAAATCGAATGGTTGTTGTGGGTTTTTCGGGCTCTTTGGCCATGTTCTGAAGGTTGTGAAGATGGCAGCCACAGAGACTGGCGAAACGTTAGGAAATACAACCTTCAGAACACGGCCAAAGAGCCCGAAAAACCCACAACAACCATTAGATTCCGGCCGTGAAAGCCTTCGCGAATATATAGGAAAAAAATCCATATTTTATTTTGTTAGTCCCCTCTCCTATCTGGAATTAATAGACCTTTTTAAATTTGCTGTTACCAGACAAATATTTTTAAGTTGTCCAGTGCCTGTAACTGAAAGGTAACAATTTGTTCAGTGTTGATGAATACATTGAATTTTTTTGTATGTGTGCATTTAAAAGCTTTTTGCAGACCATGAAGACAGGAAATCCCTCATTCTGAACACATTTTTGTTTGCTTGTTTTCAGATTTTCAGAATGATGCTAATAACTGATTGGATAAGAGGCCTGTGGTTAGGTTGCTGTGCTACATGTACTCCGTGGGCAACTACTACTACAACTGAAATTTTATTGCTGGAAAATGTGTTTTTCCTAATAGTCAGAACACACATTGAAATTTCTTGTGTGCTTCTGCTGGCTAAGCACTATAGACACTTACTGGCTAATATACATTACATTATTAATGAGAAGTGACAGTCAATCTCCATTTATGTACTTGTCATTCAAAGACTTGGAGGTATGAGGTGTGATTGCTCACCAATATGATCAGTAGAATGGAACTGCTGAAGTAGCCTTTAAAATTTCGCACAAAGACCACAGTGAACACTGGCAAGATTACTGCCTTTCCTATAGCATTCCACAAACACATTGGATTTTTAAGGGTTTTTTAAAAAGCAGATGTACACTCTTAATCACTAGCACCCGAGTAATATTTCCATGGTTATTGGTCTTGTCCAGTAAACAATTCCCTCATTATAATGTCACTTTGCTCAAATCTGATCACATAAATAGGATCTATGTAAACAACTGTGTAGTTTCTAGCACTCTTTCTACACCCAAAATTAAAATCAGGTCTCATCATCTGGAGAGGTCCACAATATCCTAAGAAACTCAGGGCATGAATTACATAAGCGGTTTTACACAAACGGGAACATATAGCTCAATCTTGCTTTCCAGATCAGGCCCAATTGAGATCTGGAGTACTGCAGTATGCTCAGTCTACCTTGTAGAATGGGTCAAGTTGCCCCCCGCTGGCGGGTGGCAGATGGGCGGCGGCTGTGCTGGCTGCTGTTGCTGCATGCGATCCTGGAGACTCCGCTCTTTTCGGATGCAGATTTGCAGCTTCTTATCGATTAGAGCTCTGCTGTGAGTGCTAGAGCTGGCATCATGCATGGCAAGTCTTAGTTTAGCTAAAAAGCAAAAGAAAACATAGCAGAAACAAAAAAAAACCTGGAGGAGGGGAGAAAAACAAAAGATGCAACAAAACCATAAAAAAAAGAACATGCAAATACTGCCACTGAAGAGTTCACAAGGATGCATCTGTTCCCATCAATGCACATTCAGGTTAGCTATGTGTCCAAACAGGTTAATTAAAACTGAAATAACATGAAATTGAACAATTTTAAAAATTATATTTTTAGGAGACACCCTCTTCTTTGTTTCATGGGTCACTCTAACCCTCATCCAACTGACTGATTGTTTCAGTGTTCATCTTTAGTCCCAGATATTATAACCATATTCTCTGTACTAAATAATCTCATCAGTATATGAAATTCAAGAAATAGCCAGTTGGGACACTTACAAGCTCAGCCTTTATGAAGTCTGTATTTTGCCTTGTTTTCTTTACTCTATAAGAGCAGACTTCTACAAATGAATCCAGTTTGTCTGCAACCTTGCTAACCAGGAAGAAGCAAATGGAGGGTGGGGAAGGAGAGTCAGCCAATCAAAAATATAACGTATCAAAATAAAGAAATGCAGCAGCATGTATTCCCAGAAGTCACAGCACACATTTTAAACTCATCAAAACATTGATGCCCTCTCTTCCTTATCTTCCTGGTATTTCAAAGAGTACAGCAGTTGAAGGGTGATGGGGCAACTACATGCTGTACTTTTGGAATGAAAACCCTTTGATAAATGAGTCTTTGATCTGAGGAACTTATGTGCTGGCTGGGTGGGAGGCTTAGAAGGCAGGAGCGAGCATAATCAAGTGGCCAGAACAGTTGGCATCAAGAAGAATGCAACTGTCCTGTCCATTGCCTTACTGCAAAAAGGCAAACTATCTAGAAAAAGGTGAGGAAACAATGAAATTATATTGCAGGAATCGTAGTATTCTGACAGGAAGTACCTCCAAACACTATTAAGACCCAGACACACATTGTATTCACAGCTGCAAGTTTGTAGTAACCATCAGTTCTATCATTGTATATGATGATATTAGATATTAGTAAAGGTAAAAAGCGCAGTAAGCAGAAGCAATTAATAATTACTTACATATCGCTTCATTACAGAGAGCCAAAGCTGCAGCACAGTCTCCCTTCTGCTCGTGATGCAGTGACTCTTCAAAGACTGCATCTGCTTCCTGCACAGACCTCTCAAAGCCATCAGTCCTCCCTGCAAATGGCAGTACTCTATTTTCAGGTTTTCTTTCTCCATTCACCTAGCCAAAAAAACCCCTCCCTAACGCAGAGCAACTCAGCATTTCAAAGACCAGACCCCCCCCCCAAACCCTTAAGTTTATTTACAGCAAATGCAAAGAAACCTGTGGGTCAAATACAGAGATAATAACAGGTCTGTAAAGAATGAGGGCATCCAGCATTTGGAACAAGATGTCATTAATATACTGATGGCACCCAACTTTCACTATCTTTTTCAGCCAGCAAATAGAGAATTTATTAAACGGATGTCTGGAAAGGGTGCCCTGGTAACATCCAAAGGAGCTGAATGCAATGAATTTTATATGGGGCTACCTTAGAACACTTCTCAGAAACAATTACAGATGATAAAAAATAATAATCTGAACAAGTTGATTAAAACATATCACTTTTGAAACAGCTTCTTTTAGCCCCATGTGCCCATCTGAACATGGTTTCAACTGCTTTAATCTTTAAAGCCAACAGAAAAGTTTCTGAAGGATGGCCTTCTTCCACATGAATCTAACTACACATTAAGGTCTCAAAGGGTACCCCACAGCCCCACCATCAAAGGTGAGGTAGATGGTGACTGAAGAAAACCTTTGCAATTAAAACAATCATACTGTGGAACAACTTACTTATTTAGCAGAGATATATCCTTATTTTTTACTACAGTCCCCAACACAGGTTTTACTGCCCATGAAATACAATTGAGTTAACCCAGAATAGTCATGATTTTGAGGGTTAGTGAAATCATGACATCGTTTTATTTTGACCACTGAATTCAATTTAAATTGGTTTCAATCATATAACTTCTTTTACATTGTTTTGAAGTTATTTCACTTTGTGTGTAGCACCTTGACATATATTCTAATAGGACATACCTGTTTTAAATGAATGAATGAATGAATGAATGAATGAATGAATAAATAAATAAATAAAACATAATCTCAATGTAATCAATGGGACTTCCATAAATTTTAATTTACAAAGTTCCCGTTTATTCAACAGGTTTACTCTAGTTGGCACCAACAGTTTGACTTAAGGCCAAAGCATTATTTTTAGTAGATTTTAGTTGCAATTTTATCTCAGTGTTGCTTTGTTGTTTTCTTGTTTTTTCAGTTGGTTTGTTATTAATGTTTTTAACTCTGTTTCAGCAAACTGCTTTGAGAAACTCTGGATGCTTCTGGATGAACAACAACTACTGTAGTGCTACCAGCCAGAAGCAATGTGTAGCTAGTTCCTGTTCCCCAACATAACAAATCTTTTTGAGGGAGAGGAAACATGAACAGTTATGCAAGGACAAAATTATGTCTACCATCCACTTCATAATATTCTCTCAAGGAGGTAGACAGACTTCACAGTAAAAAATTAACAGAGTACCTTTTGTTTTAAAAATGGATTAAAATGACATGAACAAAATATATTAAAAAACAAAAAACCTCCTAGCATTATGATCATATTATTATAATGTCATATAATATTAGAATATTATTCTAATATTATTTTCTGTAGTCTACACCAAAATGTATTCCAACGACTTGTAATTATACAAGGAATGATATGAATTAAATTAAATTAACTTTACCTAGTAGACCTTCCTCATTCATAATTGATCATTTTTTAAAGAAAAAAAAATCTCAAGCCTGTGTCTGTGGCAAGAAGAGAAAAACACTTCAAATAAGAGCTGCCACAAACCAAAGCACAAGCACTGATGACCATATTTGAGAATAATTCAAGTAATTCTCCCACATGTTATAATTCTCCCATGTTATAACTTGGGCTCTCCAGTTTAGATTTCTCAGCATTACAGCTTCTTTTAATTTACCTAGATTATTATTGGAAGCAGTCCCAATTTAATCATATCTTATTTATTTGCAATGTAAGCTGTACTGAATATTTTTGGAGATTGACAGCAGGGACAGTAATAAAATCAAATCAGTAATAAACATAACTTCTTAATGTACCCAAGCATACCTAGTCAAAACAAATTATCATCTCTGCTATCTTTGTAGCATCAAGAACAAAAAGGCATGAAATGCTCTTAGCCAAAAAAACAAACAAACAAAAAAATAAAAACAAGAGTATTTCATAATTCAGAAGCTATCCTTCCAAACACAGACCAATCAACCAAAAATGTTGACCTCTGCACAAGATGGATATTCTGCCCACACATTACCCTGGTTTTGCAGTTCATCCAAGTCCATGAACCTGCTTGGACGGGGATTAAAGCCCATCGCAGCCTCTAATTCCTTCTCCCGCTTTCTTCGGAGTTCTTGCTCTTGGGCCCTCCTTGCTACTTCTTCTTGTAATTCATCAAGTTCACTCTTGGAAGAAACAAGGATCTCTTCACCTTTGGGGTGGGGTGGGACAGCAAAAAACTTTAGTGAACACACTACCGCCTTTTAAAACCATATTTTTGTCCAGCACCAGGTCAGTTTTCTTAAATCCATTACAGCTAACAAAGTTTGTGTCAAGCAATGGCCTCCAATAAACAGAGGTCAAGGAGGTTGTTACTGTTCACATCAGTGCCTCACCTGTCTGCTAAGCATGAAACTAATGCTCTGTTTTCTGCCTTTTTCTTGAAATGCAGCAGGGCAGACAGCTCATAGGAACTAAGAGCAAGAGGATCCTAACGTATCAGGCCATATGCATTCACTGTAGCTGAAGTTCATTGACCTGAAAGTCCTCCCTATGCAGTATGCAGCTCTTGGAAATTCTACATACATTCCAATGCCTTATTTATTCATTTCAAGATGTATAAGCTTCCTTTTAGGTTAAAGCCTTAAAAAACAACACGCAACACTGCTATTAAGGTCTGAAAATGACAAACCATAATAACAATCATAAAACAATAACAAAAACAATTACAGTATAACATAAGAACTGACAATTAAAATACTGTATTTATTTATTCCTTGCAGCCCTAGTTAAGCAAGTCAGAAACAGGGCAATCTACAACCTTGATGGGAAACTTGATTCAGTGGTGAAGTATCTTTACCTGAAAACCAATCAATATGTAAAAGCACTATCCTGTTTCTACAATTTTTGCATAGAGTAATTCATAGAAACTAATGGGCCAAATTTTTACAAAAGCTGAAGGCATATATGAATTGATCTGGAACCTTCAGAACTCATGAAGGGATTATTTCATCACAAAACACAGCAGAGAGTTGAGAAAGTGTGTTGATAGGTCAGTATGCTAATATACTGCTGCCCTAATCTTGCCTTCAAAGGTAGCATTATCTAAGACTGCAGTATTATGACTGGGTGAGAGTCTGGTCATGTTATCTGCGCAGCTGAGAAAAATCACGTTTTACCAGGTAATTGTAAAAACGGTGGCAATTCAAACAAACAAATCAAACATACAAATTGTGATTCAGATCAGCACCAAATTTGGTACCGTGAGAGAAGGCAGTCTGCTCCTGCTCTATGCCAAATTTGAGGACAGTTGAGCAAAGGATTTTTGAGTTACGATATTTTAAAAAGTAACACTGTTTTTACCCTGTGCAGAACCAAGCTACCTGAAATTCAGGCAAATTTAAAACAGATCAAATATAAGACAAAATTTGCATACCTGGGGAAAATATCCCTGAATCTATTTTTTTATTTCACAGAAATTAACCCATTCTTGGCTCAAACTAATTAATTTAGCAATTAGTGCTTTTTAAGCCAGAAAAAGGGATTGATTGCCAGCTCTATTATAAAACAGCAACATACTAAAGCGATTGAATGTTTGACCCTGCCACAGCAACTGTGAAATAAAGCAATTAACTCCTTCCTGGCCAAACATTTTTAACTCTTTCCTCTGGAAATATTTGAAAAGATATTTCGAAAATAATAATATTCAGCAACTCACTCATTTTAAACTGTGAAATTACTGGTTCTTCTCCATATTTCTCACTCTTATAAAGTTACTGACTTCCAAAATGTTCTGTCATTGAGAGCTCTATTCAGATCTTGCAAACTAACAACAGCTTTGGTTAGATTCGCCTCTCTTTCTGCTGCCCCCACCCCTTCCTAACAATAAGGGTCTCTTCCATTAAGTTCTGCCCAGATCTTAGAACATCTATGGTTCCTTTACTGAGTCAACATATCTCATGTTAAATCTTCCTCTTCATCTAGTGATCCACCCCACTTTTCCCAGCAATATAGTCTATTCTGGTCACTTCTATATTTCCATTATATGTGCATGGTTGGATAGGCTCAAGTTACTCATTCAGGCTTGACTTGATTAAGCACCCACTTTTTTGCTTTTCTGACTGTCTTTAGTATCTGTACCAACACCACATTTCAAATGAGTAGACGTAAAAATCGGGGTAAAAATCGAATGAATGAATGAATGAATGAATGAATGAATGAATGAATGAATGAATGAATGAATAAATGAGTTGAGTTTTTCCCCCTGTCTTTTTTCACGATCTTCCTTTCACATAGTATGGATGATTTTGACCTTGGTTTCCAGCAATATTCTTTGCTAACTCCAAACTCTTCCTTTTTATATTTCAAAAAGCAAAGTGACATCTTTTGGAAAACATGCATACAATATGTCCATAGAGCTTTTGATCCAATATAGCTTTTCTTCCTCAGCTTGCCTAACTTAAACAAAGGGATTGGAAGTGGGATCATAGCTTTCTAGTCTGCATTCTGTGGAGTGGGCATGGCAACATTAGTTTAACTGAGAGGTTAAAAGGTGTCTATGTTTCTTCACTGTATATGTTGTACCTACTTACACCTGTGCTTCATCATTTCATTAAGTCCAAAACAGCCCTTCAAAATATTTTGGCACAGAGGGACTTCAATAATGTGACCATTAGCTTGTGGAGTGTCTCAGGGTTCCATGATCCCCCATACTATTTCACATATATATGAAAAATCTGAAAGAAGGTGTCCAGAATTTTGTGGTCTGGTACTGCCAGGGAGCTGATGACATCCAAACTCCTCCATCTGTTTTTTAAGATATTCCAGGAGGCCCTTGTTTCAGTATCTCAGGCCATCACTTAAGCTTTATTTTATCTTATTTTATGGTTGTTTTATTTTGGATTTAAACTGGCCAAAGTACTTCCTAGCACTAATCAGCAGTATATAAATCCAATAAATAAATAAAACTAACTTCTTAGTGATTAATTATCTGGTAATAATAATTTGACATGACTTAACAGTGACAATATTCAGAAGTGGTTTCTTCTGAAACCACTGAAGTTAGGGAAATAGTAGATCTCTATATCTGCTTCTTTCTATCATATCTTGTTCCACTCCTGGCCACATACCTGTGGCATAACTACGCATAATGCTATACCTTTGGATGCTTATGCACGTAAATGTACCGTGTTTCCCTGAAAATAAGACAGGGTCTTATATTACTTTCTGCTCCAAAAAAAGCATTAGGGCTTACTTTCAGGGGATGTCTTATTTTTTTCATGTACAACAATCTAAATTTATTCAAATATAGTACTGTCATTTTCTTCTGGTTGCTGCACAATAGTGGAGGGCGGGGTTTCGCTTAACTGGGGCTTATTTTTGGGGTAGAGCTTATTTTTGGGGTACGACTTATATTATGAGCATCCTGAAAAATCATACTAGGGCTTAGTTTCAGGTTAGGTCTTATTTTCGGGGAAACAGGGTAGCTGCGCTGAGTGTATGGAAAGTAACAGTTGGGAAGCAACTTCATGGTTCATCCTGTTATTCAGCTGACTTCAGCTTCGTGATTACTGGAAACCATGATTTGTCGTGATGTTTGAAAGAGACTTTGGAGAAATGTTATATACTTTCTGGAATATAACTTCCAGAATTCCCCTGTCAGCATGGGAGTTACGATCCAAAAAATACGGTAACTTTTCTAAGTTCTGGTTTGAATTGAGCTTTTCCTTCTTCCACAGGAAAAATAATACTTCTGGTTCAGTTAGAATGATCTAAGCCCAAACACTGACAAAAATTCACAAAAGGGAGCATTCCACCAGCCTGCAGAGTAGAGATGGGTACAAACCACTGTTCAGTTCAGCCTAGTTCAGTGTGGTACCCGCACAACTGTTCCGTAGTGCAGCACGCTTCCCTCCCTTGCCTCCTGTGTGCAATAACCCAGTCACCAGATGCAGCATGCTTCCCTTCTCTGAGCAATCATCCACTCAGATGGGGAGGCGGGGCAGGGAAATCTGTGGTGCTGCCGGTGAGCGGACAATTACACTAAGAAGGCAGAGAAGATAAGCACACTACAGCTGGTGAGTGGGCAATCATGCAGGGAAGGTAAGCATGCTGCAGCCAGTGAATGGGCAATCACATAAAGGAAGTCAGGCAGGAAAGCCTGAAGTGCCCGTGAAACACCTGTGTAGGCTATGTGCTAACCTGTGGATTGTGCTGATCTCTACTGCAGAGCAAAAAGGACAAGAAGCTGGACCATTTTATTGCCTCTACTGAGGGACCAGCTACCTTTGCTCCTTGTTGTTGTTGTTGTTGTTGTTGTTGTTGTTGTTGTTGTTGTTGTTGTTGTTGTTGTTGTTATATGCTGCATTTCTCCCAACAAGGCTCACAACAATAAAATTCACACATTTTAAAACCATAATCTTAAGTATTAAAAGATAAATTAAATAATAAAGGATTTTAAATTAAATAAAATTAAAAGATTAAAAATTATTTGGAAAATTATGGTAAGATCATGGAAAATTATTTGGAAAGATCATGGAAAGATTAAAATTATTTGCTAAAATGGGGTTCAGGGATTCAGTTGTAATGGTGAAAAGCCTGCCTGAAGAGATGGGTTTTTAGCTTTTTTCGGAAGGATAACAGGGAAGGGGCAATCCTGATCTCCCAAGGGAGAGTGTTACATAGCCTGGGAGCTGCCACAGAGAAGGCCCTCTCCCATGTCCCCATCAGCTGTGCTTGTGCTGGCAATGGGACCAAGAGGAAGGTCTCCTCTGCTGATCCTAATTGCTGAGAAGGCACATATAGGGAGATACGGTCCTTCAGGTATCCTGGACCAAAGCTGTATAGGGCTTTATAGGTAATGACCAGCACTTTGAACTGGGCCCACAAACAGACTGGTAGCAAGTGCAGTTCTTGTAACAGGTGTGTTATATGCTCCTGTAGCTGGCCCCAGTCACTAGTCTGGCTGCAGAGTTTTGTACCAGCTGAAGTTTCCAAACCATCTTCAAAGGCAGCCCCACATAGAGCGTAGTACAGTACAGTGGTGCCTCGCTTAATGAGCGCCCCGTTTAATGAAAAAATCGCATAGCGTTCTCGGACGCCTGGAAGTCCGAGAACAGCCTGGGTAAGCGGCGCGGGTAGGCTTCAAGCTTCCTGATCCACCCCCACCCTGGCCCCGATGCTTGAAGCCTCCCCACGCCGCTTACACA